GGGGGGGGGTAGTATCATACACGGGTTATTGATAATTAGATTTCTAATGCTTTTTAAGCTCAAAAAATGATGATCGTATAATACTTGAGATTGTATTATACCTGAATAAATACGGTACTTACAGAGTTGGAGGCTTTTTCTTTGCTTGGTTCTTTACTGATGTCTGTTTTTTGTTCCCTCCGTGTTTCATGTGGGTTCACCAGGCCCATGCAGGCCCGTTGGTCTCACAGGTCCAGTCCAGCTCAGTCCAGAGTGCAGACTCGGCAGGGGAACACACTCTGAGAAGGATGGCCAGAATGACCCCGCTGTGGAGGATCATGAGCAGCAAACCATCCGGAGCTTTCTGCCAAAACAACTTTGAATGCTCCACAGGACTCTGCAGGTAATCAGACAGAAAGAAAAACATTTGTATTTTACTGTTAAAGTTATCTCAGTGGGCAACTAGTTAATAAAGAGCATTTGTGAGGGAGACCCAAAACTGTCTCAAAATGTTTGCAGGGGTTCTTGGTTTTTCCACGAGTCGCAGAGGATCGTAGTCTTGTTGAACATGTTCATTTGTTGGTAAACTTTCCCTAAAAATACTTACAATTGTCATGGCTGTTTCAAACTTATGTTAAGCCCCTTCCAGTTCAGTTTCTAGAGATGTGACCTTCACGAAGGATACAAATCTTTGAATGCATCCCTACAATGAACGACAGGAACCAAGTTGCGGGAATTTATTCTTAATCACGGGGACAATCATCCCGCTTCGCTTTTTTGTGGAAAACAGGCAGAGCAGTTGAGTACAGCGGCTCATGGGGGAGTGGGGAGGGGTTTCCGCTTGACGGAACACATGGTGACGTACGGCGTACGTGGTGATGTATTTCCCTATGTGATGACTTAACTGATCAAAACCGAATGGCTCTATGAAACAAACGGTTCCTCAAGATCCGAATCCCTTCAAAGAGCCATTTATCCAATCAAAAATCTATAGAATGCTAGAGCTGTATTTTACTCCTCCATGTGTGCTTTCCTGTCACCAAATCTGTCTATCTTCATTTCAAAAGTGCATTTCAGTAGAATAAATCAGATACATAAACATGGCTGGCATGTGGGTACGAAATGGACCAAGGCGGGTACAGTTGGGCAATGCAATACAGCCTAGAATACAGTTTGGCAAGTCATGCACGCAAAACTACTGTAGACAGCGATTTTTAAAAACCGGCCAGCTAATTAGGCACTTGGTCCCAAACATTTAGCGACTGCCACTGAATATTTGTCTACTTTCATCAAATTTTGAGTCACCGACTGGTCGAACATTTGGAGCCCGGAGAGAAACTTCCCTTAACTTAAATCCAAATACACTGAACTATTGGAAAAAAGAAAAGCTGTTTGTTAAGTTTCAGTATGAAGTTACTTTTTTTCATTTACCAACAAATCAAACAAAAACTAACTTCAATCAAAATAACAAAACTTTATCAAATGGAAAAGACTATGTCCAATGATGCTTTAATATTGGACCATTACATCGTGATTAGATGTAGCTCTAGTTAAGAACATTTATACACCTTTGTATAACGCAAACTAATCCACGCTGTTGCTATTCTCAGGATGTTACACATATCAAATGTTAAGTTATTTTTGTCTGCTGACACTTTTATGTGAATTTACATTGTACTGGTTTTTGACGTCATTAAAGAGGTTTTTCTCTCTTTCTTTAGGAACGGACACTGCTCGACTAATAAACAAGCCTCATCAGAGCCGGTCAAGTATTAGATGTCCCACGGCCCAACAAGAATGTTCACATGTGCACGACACAAAATCTGAAGGGGTTCTGATGACTAGAAAAGGAAATGTTTTTATTTTCATCTTCCAGTGTAAAATGTCAAATAATTTATTTACAAAGGACGGTGTTGAGCCAATTAAACCAAAACATATTTGGAACACATTTTTTTTAATATGGTCTACAAAATGCCAGAATAGTTTTAGCTTTAAGCCCTCATCCAAGGACACAATGATTTACTTTGGCCTTGAACCAAATTCCACAGATGAGGAAATGGACTCTGTTAAACAATCTCCTCATTTATCGACCCGTGTACTGACCACACTAACCCAGACTGGTAGCTTCTCTATTCTTGGGTTAAATCCAGTAAATTCGTTGTGATTTAAAGAAAAGTGTTTTTATAATTACTGGGTTATTTTACTAACAGATAAAGATGGAAGAGGTTGGTATCAGCTGAAAGCACAGAGAACATCTAGGAAGCTCCTGACCTTTGCTTTGTTCCGCTGTCTCGTGTTGTACCAGATAGCTTATCACTCGACTAGACTGCAGTAAAAATTCTTAACATTTTACAGACAAGTAGGCCGTTTTCAAACACATGTGCATTTCGTTTTATCAGAAAGAATTTAAAGCTTGGAAAGACRAGAGGCAGTGACGTAATCAGCAGGCTTCTGGTTACCAAAGAACAGCGGTAGATTTATCTTTGCTGAGTCGTGTTTTTAAACTCTGGGAGCACAGGTGATGAGGTGCCAACAAGAAAAGCAGAAAAGGTTGGATTGAACTGAAGCTCAAGCTACTTAAACATCATAAAATGATCTTAGCTTTTATTTTAAATTCAATTTTTTTACATAAGCTTATTAATTTTAGATTAAAACCATTATATATGATGCTTTAAATGTCTGCATACTCCTTGTCTGTACTGCATGAATTAACCAGATTTTGTATTTATTTCATCTGTTTTAATGTAAGAAATGTTCCCCATTTTTTTTATTGCTCCTGTTTTTCAGTTGCCTTGACATTATTTACCACCCTGAATAGTTAAACTTTTTCTCTCCCCCCTCCAATGCGAACTCTGTATCATGAGGAACAGATGTTTAAATTTTAAGTTGCACAGCATTTTTATTATTATTATTATTTGCACATCTATTTCCAAACTTTGCAAAACTAAGAATCATCTTTAACTCATCTGCAGAGCTAYGCACACAGCAGGTGGTTGGTAGGGTTACGAGTAGAGCTGCACTTTCAAACCAATTTATCGTTGTACTGTACTGTTACATTCATTTAGAGGGCTGGATGAAAAGTGGAATAAAAGTATTTTGGAAAAAAAAGGTAACTGTGTCCAAGACCTAATGATTTTATTCTGGTTTTATTGATTAAAAAAGACTTATAAAAAATAATCATTGGATGTACATCTAAACGTTTGGTACCAACCCAATTCAAAATGGTTGTCACAACTTACCGACACTCAAAAAAAATGTCTACAATTCAGTCAGTTTTACAGATRTTGTGCTAAAATTTGATGTACTATTTGAGACATCCCCCACACATAAGCAGAGCATATTACATAAAATTGTGTATAATATTGTTTTTAAAGGGGAGAGGAGAGTTATCATGCAAAACCCACATTTTTTGAACATTATATCATGTTATGTCATTCCCTCATCAAAAACATACCCATGAGAAATCCTTGACTCTCMTGTGGTAGCCATGTGGAGCTGCCTAAACACTTGCTGGGACAAAGCCCCATCTATTTACCCAAAGCTCCTCCCTGGAGCTCAGTCTGCAGCCAAGCTCCACCCCACAGAGCACCCCTCCCCCAAAGCATTGTTGTGAAGACAAGCTGAAATGGGAGCGTCTGAAATGGTAGGYCAAATTTAAAGTCAAATTTATTTTTGAAATAGACAGACTTTTCATAGCAACTGAAGGTAACATCATTACTTGATTGTGACAGAACTGAACCATGTTTCTGGAAAACACACAACACCCCATCTTGAAGTTGAACAAATTTCACTCCGTTTCTCATTATAAAATAATCTTAGTCCAACATTTGCAGGAAAGGTAGTAGGCAACGCACATCCCTTAAAAGAACTACTTCTCTAATCTTTGTAATAAACTGAGATTTAGTTAAAAATAAAAGTAGTTTTTTTTTTTCAAAGTTCAACTTCAGAACTTGGTTCACCAAATCTGTTAGAGCTGTGTAAGACCACCATCTGCTGGAATCAGAGTTGTACTGCATCCCTGAACTTTTTATCACATGTAATAATAAAAAGGAAAATTATATTTAGTTATTAGTCCTTAATTCTGGGCAACCATCCTGCATGTGTTGTTTTCCTGTTCTTCATCATGTCCACAAGATCTGCAGAAACCTGTTGGTAAATTATAAATTAAAATAATTAATTAATTTTAATTAATATAGTGT